ACCCCATGCCTGAGCGCAAAACCAGCTTGTTGTGCGCTCTCATGAGTCCAGAGCAGATCAGTGAGCTTCGCGAACGTTCGTGCTTGCAGTGTGGTGTCTGTTTTTTTAGGTTGCTATCTCTCCTCTTTATCCACGCAGTTGCTCCGAGGAGCGCCAAGTTGACCACTGTCCTGCAGCCGCCGGGGGCTCGGATGTCCTCTTGGGCACCCGCACCATCATTGAGCGGAAGATTTTGAGCGATTTGAAGGCTTCGTCTGAGATTGCCTTGTGGTCGCCTGGAGACGTGCCGGAGATCATCCAGAGGTGCGGGCGCGCCTCGTCTCTTGCGCTTGGTGTGTCTGGGTTGTGTTTTGCATTGTGTGCACTGGCAGGTTAGCAGAGTCGCGGGTGCAGCCCGCAGGGCCCGGATTTCGTGGGCAGGCCAGGCGGCCAGGCCCTTCCGACGTGCCTGTGACCAACTCATTGTCAGGTGTCAGTCTTCCCAACGAGAGTGCCGGCGGCTCACTGGAAGATGTCAGATCTGTGAAACTGGACCGAAATCCTGTCCTTTTTTCTGCGACTTCCCCCCGTATGGCAGAGCAGCGCTCAGGCTGAGCCAAGTGGAGAACATGGCTCAGCCCGTCCCTGAGCTCGGGGCAAACAAGCACCAGCACGTACCAGCACCATTGTCTTGAGCTCACACATCCAAACAATGGGTCGCTGCAAGCAATACAATACTTACCAGAACCACCTTCCTTGCGGCATGCCACGGCTACGGAACATGGACAAAGCGTGCGCGAAGAGTTGCCGCAGTACCATGTTCCCTCAAGCCGAAGACATTCTCACTGCTTGCATGGGACCTGGCATGAGGCTTTTCATGGGCCCGCGCCCAAGCTCTTCGTTTTGGACATTGCTGAGTCTCATGTCCTGGCATGACTTCCCACGACTGCGCAGCAAAGCAGCGGTTGTGAAACGAGGACACATTGCAAAATTCAGCTGTCTTTGAGACTCCCCTCGTTGAGGTTTTCCAGAGGAAGCCCGCACCACGAGCAAGGGCTTACGAGTCATGCGCGACATGCTCTCACAGGACACTGTTTTTCAGACCTCCCGCGCTGCAAGTCAAGAGCCGGTGAAGCTGCGCAGCCATTTGCTTGAAGCTGAGCCTGAGTCAGGAAGGCCGCAGTGAGCGAACACATGGCCGCTACCTACTGCGTATGCGGCTGAGCGATTTGAGCTTGGTGAAAGGTGGGTGATGGTTGCCTCGCACATCCTCTCACCATAAGGATTGAGCAATCATGGAACGGGTCGCCACGTCCGTTTCCTGGCGCACGACTGAGCTTAGCTAGTAACTAGTACAGACATCCATTCCCAGCGTGCCAGTTGAACCTGCATTTCGTTGTGCCCACCAAGGACCAGCTCCCGTTCTTCATCAGGAGGGGCCCTTCACCAGAGCCCCTTTCATGCAGTGGCCGCTGTGTATGACCTGTGCACAGGCCTCTATGGCACACGATCCGTGCGGTGTGGCGTAGCGACAACTCCGACGAGGTCAGCGTGCAAGGTGCTGCGACTGACAGACTGGCATTTACAACTGCAGGTTTTGGAGCTTGCTGGGGCAGATGCCTTGAGACACCTCGCGTTGACGTGACCTGGCCGACGAAATCTGCACTTCGCCTGCCCAGCTCTGAGTGCCGCCGACGCTGATGACGCTGGCCAGGTTCACAGCATCGGACGGCTTGCGGTCACCGACCGACCTTTCCCTTACTGTTGCCTGTGGCTAAGACTCTCTGAGTCACGGGGTCACCAGGATCCGAGGATTCTCCAAATCGATCCAAGGACCTTTCACCTGGAAGCTCCGTGAGCGTTTTCCTGGATGTCCTGCCGCTGATCCCAGGAAGTGTCGGTGCGTTGGGGATGAACAGGCAACGAATGCACATGTGTGCTATGCATAATCTATTCGGCCCCCGGCACAAAACCAGAATGTGCGAGATTTGCGGCTTCTGTTTCAGACAAGGAGGAGCCAGTACGAACACAAATTGCTTCTGAGGCTTAAAGGGCTCGGTGCGTGCTGAGGAAGAACTTCATCCCCTTTCGCGAGTTTTCCTATGCTTGCGAGAAGGCGGAATGTGTTCATTCACACCCTTTAGGGTTTGGGGTCTTTTCGACCACGTCACCCCCTGCAGGGGTTGGGTATTTTGTAATTGTGGCCACGCCTCTTTCTGGGGTCCGTTAACTTTTGTCACGACTGCCTCCTATTGAGGGTGTGGGGTCTTGCCAGCGAGTCAAGGGCCTGACCTCCCATTCTTCCACCACGTGGGTTTGGGTTCCTGGGAAGCAGTAGCTCTTTTTTAGGTTTTGGGCTCGTGGCAATCAGTGACCATTCTCAGGGTTAGGACTCTTTGCAAGCTCGGACTCCGTTTAGGGTTTGAGGTTTTTCGGAAGCACTTGCTCCTTTTAGGGTTTCGGGGTTCTCTGTTTTGGCGAGTAATTCGTTTTCGCAACCACTTACTCCTAGGCTTTCCGGCTTTTGTGACAACCAGTGACCCTTCCGGGAACCATGGCCCTGAGCACTCCCTTCTTGGTGTGTGAGGCACTCGTGCAGGGCTTTAGGGCTTCCCACCCATTGTACCCAGCAGGCTCCCGGCCTCTGTGGGTAGTGGGGTGATGCGAGATGTGCAGTTTGCTGCTTTTGCATCATGACCTCGCCATGCTTCTCGGAGTATTTACCCACAAAGCCAGTTCCGAAAAACATTGAAGGAATTACTCCTGTGCAAAAAGCCAAACTCTAAAAAGAGTGACTTGTTTCCAAACATCAAGACCCTGAAACGGTTGGCCACTTATTACCATAAGCCCAAACATGAAAAGGAGTCACAAAAAACAAACTACTAGTAGGGTTCTGAACACATCCCCAAGGGAAGATGCAAGACTCACGTAGTTTTCGAGCTGTCATGCTCGCTGTCACGAAAGTGACCCTGGCACATGACTTATTTCGATTGTATTGGTCGCGCAAGTTGCAGCAGTCCTCGTCCACTGTGCCAGCCCCGCCACTGCTGCTGCATTGCTCCTGCAGCTGCTGCTGTTGCTGCCGTTGCTGCAGCTGCTGCTGCAGCTACCGCGTCCCTGACTGTGACTGTGACCGCGACTTCGACTGCCACTGCTACTGCGACTGCTGCTGCTGCTACTGCTGCTGCTACTGCTGCTGCTGCTGCTGCTGCTGCTGCTGCTGCTGCTGCTACTGTTGATGCCGCTGCTACCACTAGCACAAGCACTAGTACTAGTACAAGTGCAAGCACTGGGACAAGCACCCGCACTGGTACCGGTACCAGTCCAGAGCAAGCGGTAGCCTGAGTGTTAGTGATAGTAGTACAACTGTTAGCAGTACTAGCAACCAGGACCACGACCTCCACAGAGGCTACGACGCGACTGCGACTAGTTCTACTATTGTTAAAACGACGACGACTCCTTCCTGCCCCCTCTGCAGCTAAACTGCACCGGCACGAGAGTATGCAAGAACAGAAAGTAAGACTGCAAAAGCCGGCAAGTAGAGATACATCAAGAAACAGTCATCATAGCGTTGTAGCGACAAGCAGAGATAGCAACAATCCGAACTCTCTCTGCTCAGGGCTTTGATGTTGCTGGCGCGGTGTGGCTGGATGCGGACCTTGACGTCGCTGGTTCAGGTTTCGGGTCATGTAAACGGAGAGCTGAGTCCTTCGGCCAAATGCCTCAATGCCTCGTTCACTCTCGTGCAGGAGCTGTCGGCTCAAACATCATCGCACCCTTGGGTCCGCTCTTGCCTAAGCTGTTTCCTGCAATCAGACATTGAGCTTGGCTGCGCAGCGCCGCAGCAGCGGCCACAACCGCCACGACAAGCCAAGGTCCCTAGGGCAAGAGGCTCAACCTGGGAGGAATTGGAGGCGACCTTGGCAAACTTCCGACGTCTGTCTGGTGCGGATGCCCCTGCACACCCAGGCTGCATTTCACCGAGGGTATGCTGGTGATGGTACCGATGTCCCTGCCTTTCCAAAGGTTCTCAGGATTTGTTAGGTCTATCTGATCCAGTAGACATGCTGCGTGTGTGTGTGTGTGTGTGTGTGTGCGTGTGCATCCGGGATCACAAGAGGCTTGAAATGCAGGATCTTTGTAGGCAGACACGTCGCTCGTGTGCTGCTTGCAATGAGGCCGGATTTCAGCATGCCGTTCAATGTCCAAAGCCCAGTGTTGCGATGAGTCGGGAGCACCTCCAAGATGCAAACAAAGACTGCGTGTGGTTCAGGTTCTGTCTTCGTCTAGACTGTTACCAGGGTGCAGAGGGGGAAGCTTTTTGCCATTTCCTCGCACTGAGGTCATCGCCCTTTCCTCAACTGCAGTCCCCTCAGCTGTCAGCTGTTCACGGCAGTTGAGCCATCTTGCGAGGAGTTTTCTGCAGGCAGTGACCTTCTTCTTTGGCTCCGTCTTCCGCATCACGGCAGCGGGCCGGCAGGCCCACTGGTGCACGGAGAGCTGGAGACCTAAGTCCGAGACTGGGGCAGGAGCCCGAGTCGTCTCGTTGCAAAGCCAAGCCGAGGTGGGAGCAAGAAGCGTGCCCTACACCCCGTGCAGGCCACCGTGTTCCTCTTTTCAGTGTCTCATCACTGTGGCTTGGGCTGCGCATGTTGTATTGCTGCAATTGCCTGTTAAATCTCGTGGTTCTGACAGTTTCGCAGTCAAGGTATGCAAAGCCAGAAATGTTGGCAGCCATGCATGCATCCCGTGACCTGCAGAAAGGTGCTAATCCTCTGTATCATTGCAGGGCGCGGCCGGCAGCATTGTGCGGACGTATCCTTCCACGATGTTTCCAGTTACCTTGAGCGGATGGAAATCAGAAACAAGCTCGATGAGTGGTTTGTTCGCTTGAGTACTCGCAGCCCAGGCATGCCAGCATGTGAGACTCCAATCCCGCAAAGCCAGGGCCGTTGCCCTGAATGCCGTGACCCCGGAGCAGCTTGCGCAGTTTCGGGCCGTGCTGCCCGAGGCTGGGGACAAGCAGAGATAACGCTTTTTTGGGATTCGGGCTTGTTCAGGTTTGCTGCTTGTCTTCTCGCCCGAGAGCTGATGGGCATTGTCGTTCGTTGTGTTGGGACACTTGCTCTCAGGCCTCAGCTAGTGGGACGGCACGACCGGAACCTTTATTCCATGCCCCTCTGACGGGTCTTAGAATAATAAGCAGCAAGGGATTCGGAACGTGGTTTCAGAAAGCGCGAGCCAATTCACGGTGGAATGCAGCTCATGTTAATGCGATCGGAAATCAGCTGCCGGACTTCAGGCTGGTGGTTATGGGCCTGAGTTTTTCGGCTACGTGGTCGCGGCCAAGGACTGCGCGAGTGCTCTGAAGCTTCGGGAAGCCGTCTGAAGCCGTCAGGACAAGGTGGACAGCATCCTCTCCAAGCGCTGACCAGTGCTCGCTACGCCAGCCGGGACATCGTGGAGCTCAGTCCTTCAAGCGCCCCCTCGGACGGCGGGAGTGCACTTCCTTGACGCCTGGGCGGCCGACGCCAAAGAGCAGCAAACTTGGCCGTGGAGAACAGCAGGACAAGCTGGCGGGTCGCCTGGCGATGTGCGGCCGACTTGCTGACCAGCAGAAGAGGCGGCGCGGGGCGGCACAAGCGGGAAAAAGGCATCCTCATTTCTGCTCCCGGTGGTCCCCAGCTGAAATCGGTTCGACTACATGTGATGTCCTGATAAGGTTTTCTTACAAAGAGCACGTGCCCTTGCAGTTTTTGTGCTCCCAAAGCTGCTCCACGGAGGGTCGCCCTATGTCGCTGTGTGTTTTGATTTGTTTTGATGTTGCGATCTGGCGACGCACCTCGCCCTATTCCATGCGAGCGCCGCATTTACTCATTACTCAATACACCGGAGACAATCTGAAGTCCACATAGCCAGCAAGCCTGACAATCTGAAGCAAGTATTAGCGCCCTGCACTTGATGCGTTGGAGCTTTTACCTACCGTCAATCTGTTCCCGGAAGCTTACCGTCGAGGTTTGATGAACCACAGGTAGGATTGCCGTCGCCATGGGGAGAGGCCCAGCTGCAATGGCCAACGCGTCGATGATGAAGATTTAGGCGGGGCGTAGCAAGGGGCAACCAGGGCAATTGGTCGTGAAAGCGGCTTCTACGCTTCGCTACAATTCTCCCTGTCGAAGCTATGCTCCGCTAGTTGAGTCCTTGGTGCTTCTCTTGCGCTTTGCACGGTGCTCGCGGTCGGAGAGAGCTGCCGTAGCTGTAGGATTTCTGCTTGAGCAGTGCGGCGCAGGAATTCATGCACTGCTCTCCGATGAGGTGAAATTCTGCAATGCCGACATTGCTCCAAGCTCCAGATGTCAGCAGGCAAGTCCGCACCGACCTCGTGACAAGAGAAGGACTCAAATAGCAGACGCTTTGTAGTGTTCTGGAGCTCGCGTTGTAGCTTCCTCCGACATTGCCATTCAGGTAGAACGTATTGACTAAACTGCTCGGCTTGAATGACCGAGCCTTTCCAAATCTTTGTCTCGCGCGTTGATTTGCAGATCTCCCCTGACTCGCTTGGACAATGTCTGCAAGGCTCGGAGATGCCGGGGTTCTTAAAGCACTTGAGAACGCCGACTCTAGCCGATGCAAGGCCTTCGTCGCAGAGGCCATGCAGGGAGGCCTGCGCCCACGCCGTCGCGCAAAGAAAGAAAGGTGCAACACCGAGAGTGGCACTGGAGATGTGTTGGAGAAGCGTGGGTCGCACAGGTCATGGAGGCTCGAAGGAAAAGCGTTGCGGATCCAGCTTCGGTGCGGTAGATGGTAGGTGGCTGTGATGGCCCATGTCTGAAGTAACTTGACTGGGCATCAGAGAACAGTCCGAAATACCAACAGGAAGATGACACTGCAGTCACAAAATGGTTCTGGCATTGTGCTAAAGATGTTCGCGTGACTGCTGCAGCGGGAGCACGATCTTTGGAGATGAGTCTCGCCCGCCATGCACACTTGCAGCACGATTTAGTAAGGGGAGCGCAGCGGGACTGCCAGGAAGACGATGTGCGAAGTCAACATCCACATGGCACTGTGGTGGAAACAAGTTTAAACATTCCAAAACTCTGCTATTGTCGTTGTGACTATTATCCTCAATGAAAACGGGCAGGCCAGGCGAATAGTGGCGCCTTGGGGACTTGGGGCGATTCGATCAAAATTGGCATGGGGCTGGCAGGAGAGCGATTTCTATCAGTATTTCTATCCAACGACATGTAAAAACGTTCACGAGCCCGGCCGAGTATGTGTGCTTTGCGGTCACACTGACCACATCTCGCACCGAACGCAAGACGAAGAGCCCGGTAATGTTTGCACACTGTTCATGGCAGTGAGGAAGCGCTTTCCTTTGCCGCCACTTCCACGGGCCACCGCCTCGGTGTAGCATCCCCTACTTCTCTAACTTTAGAGACCACCGCAAGCCGAGGCGCCTCCTCTGCATCCTGAAATTATGGAGGCACAGGGGCTTCGCAGCTTGCCGCTGGATGTCCTTGAGAAGTCATGTGATCGTGAAGTGTTGCACATTGAGACGTGTTGAGACACACCATTCAAGAGTTGGCTCCTGGCTGGTCGCACCTGCCAGGCCGATGAGATGTTGGGCCCAAGTGTCTCCGACGAAGATGCAGGCCATCCTATCCCATCAGCAGTCAGTTTGCAACGCCGACGTAGTTTTCGACACACGGAGACAACTCCGGTGTGCCGTAGCTCCGAGGCTTTGGCATGCAAGCGATTCAGCCGCAGGCTCAGATCTCCCCAGGGTGTTTTGAAAGCATTTCGGACTTACCCTGTTGTCATGCCCTTCCAAGTCCGAGACCCATAAAGTGCGCGAAGAGCAGTTGCTTGTACACAGCAATCTTGCTAACGCAGCGACATCAGCCCCTTGAGGTATGATGGCCTCTGGCGGTTCCCTCAGGCTTTTGTTAGGCTCTCCACAAGCCGCGGACGTTAGACAACGGAGTAAATTTCGCTAAGCGCATAGATAAAGAACACAACTATCTGCATGAGTAGATGGAGACAAAGCTGAATGCATGGATGCGCACACATGTATGTACCTAAAGATACTAGCTACCCTCCCTTTGTAATTTATCATTTTTGGCACTTCATACGCGTGAAAGCCCTTCGCTTAGCTGTAGAAAAATTCCAGATGTGTGCAGTAGGTAGGTTTTGGGTTTCGGGTTTAGGGTTTAGGCTTGAAGGGTTTGGCTTTAGGGGTTTGGGGCTTTTTGGTTTTTGGGGGTTGAAGGTTTAGGATGCAAAACAGGGGTTGCGGAACAGTATCCCGCCTAATGATGAACTGCTTCTAGGGTGTGCCCCTTTGATGCTCAAACCTGCGCAAGTTCCGAACATCATACTATAGCAGTCTGACTACTTAGCATTAATATTCCCTTATCGCCCAGGATTTTGCTGAAGGCATTTGTTCGTGTTTTTCATGGATACACAAGGCGCATAAGGGCCCACCTATGTAATTTGCTGGTAATTAAACGAACTTTTGATTATATAGTTTCGAAGGAAATCTTTGTGATAAACTCAACAGACATACACGTTAAATTGTAAGCCAGTAGAGACGCGATTGAGCCCATCGGAGCCGGTTGAAGTTCGATCGGGGACAGGATCGAAGATTGACGATCCCGGCATAATAATTTCTTGGGGATCTTCAAGCTCTATTTAGCGTTGTCCTGATTGAACTGAATCGGGGCCGATTGAGTTCAGTGAGCCTGGTCATGTACAACTTCGAAAATACTTCACCAAACGTACGGGATAGGAGTTTTCAGTTGCACAATTATACAGGTCATACACATCTATTGCGTAGGATTTGTGGGGATATGTAAACTACAGGCCGCGTGATGCCTGAGCTTAAACCATTTGCCCCTCTTTAAGCTGAAGCGGCCACATACATACGGCGGTATAGCTGACAGGCGTTATCGATTGCTCTCCTATCTCCTATCACGATCTGCAAGTCGCATGAAGTGCAGAGTTAGCGGTCAAACACTTCAACAAAGAGTTTGAAAGGCTGATTGCCAGTACACAATGCCGACTGAAACATTGAGTTGAAACCCGAGGCCACGAACAGAACCCGGCTGCAGCAAATTTCCACCTTTGAGCTTACCGTCCACCTGGATGCTTCTGAGTCTGGAGGCCGACATCGACAGAGTGACTGCATTCTCATTCGGCCCTGCCCAAACGAGGAATGATTAGTACTAGTAGCCATGATTCCGAAGACCTTCAAGATGTTTTCGGCAGTGCACCAGACGGAAGCATCAGGCAATAGTGCAGATTGCACCGGCACCAACTGCATGGCAACTCCATTCCACAAGCATTTTTTCGACTGGCAACATTCGAGAGCCAAAAGTTGTTCATGTCGAAGAGTATCATGTAGTGAAGCTGTACGCAACCTGTAGATGCCACATCGAGAGTTAGCGGCGACCCGAGTGACACCCCCAACAACCAATCCCAATGCAGGCGTACACATCTCATGCAGGCCTCATGGGCCTACATCACACGATATCCCGCCTTGTCCATACTGAAATCCACACTCGAAAGCAAGGGAGAAGTTCTGCTGGTTTGGCGAACATTGCCAGGCGGATAAGATGATGCGGTCGACCTCGTCTTTCCACTCGGTGTGCAACTCAGACAACTGTATGAAAACAAAGCTGCATATTAATGGCGGTAAGAGGTCCCACCACGGATGTACATGAGATGTGCGTGATGACAAGCAGTGCGTAGCCGAAGCTGCTTCTGGTCTTTCCTTTCAACGTCACTGTCTCCCTCGCATCGATGTACGGCAGGTGAGCAGCCGCAGCATGCGAAGAAGCCAAATGCACCGTCCCCAGTGTTTTGAACCTACCACCTCCCTATGTCCCGTTGGGCAATGCCGTGCAGAAACGCAGCCTCTGAGTGTTGCACAATGACATAGCTCCAGCGGGTCAGGCATCAGACGAGCAAGGCGGTGTGGAGCCCAGAATTGAGGATGGTCACATGATGTCACATGCAGCAGAGAGGCCGCTTCGCTTGCAAGCCTTGAGCCCTTCCAGTCCGGCCAAATGCAGCAGAAACCGGCCCGGGGTGGTCTCGGAAGCCTTACCGAGGAGAAGCTCGACTCGACGCAGACGTCCGAGACTCGGGCGAAGGCGGACTTGTCGAACACTGAGCACCTTAATGCGTTGCCGATGGTGTCCCGCGGAGACGGTGCAGTCAATGTTTTAGCTCGACTCTGGTGCTGCTTCGGCAGGAGCAATCGGACGCCAAGCGCCCGGCAGCTCTCAGAATGAACTCCGAAAGCCCTGCGCCCAGTCCCAGTCTTGTGCGGAAGGGGAAACCCAACATGTCAAGTTTCGTCTCCTTGCGAGCAAGGGCGGCTCCATGATAGGCCTGGTTTCGAATTACGAGCCCCCTATCTGAAAGCTCTAAGCATTCGGACCCGATCTGGCACGTGCTGGTGAAAAAGGTTTCATTGACGAAGAAGGCCCAGCCAGGAGCTCAAACCTGTGCTCTCTAGGGTCGTGGAGAGTGCCCTGTGACACACAGTCCTGAGACAGCCGCACATCCATTCTTCAACAGCCTGCCACTGAGAATCGTGACCTGAGCGGCGGCTCCGGCACTAGCCCCGTGACGACGGGACCTCAGAAACTTCACCGAGAGGGCAGGTGCCTGATCTGTTGATTCAAATTTCCCCATGTTGAGTGCCTCAAAATGCACTCATACGTGCTTATGGCTCCGCGTTGCGTTGTCTTTGGCGCAAGGCATGTGCTATCATCCCAGCAGAGCCCGGAGAACTTTGCGCCGCGGGGCCAGGCGCATCTTGTAATAAGGCTGAGGTATCTAGCCTGAGTCTTGGGTCAAGGGAATTGGGCCTAGGCAGCCCACCCAGAACTATCCCGAGGACCCTGGACAGACACGGCCTTGTTCATGAGAAGTCTCTTGCGTCCGGCTCCAGGTTGCAGATCGGCAGAGCCAGGACCCCAAGCGACGGGACTGCTCCCACCTGGGATCTTGAAATATCTTGAAGCTCTGGGAGAGTGCAGAGGCTGTAGACTTCAGTGCAGGGAGGCAAGGGAAGCCTTTCAGCTTTTGCTTTGCCTGCGAGTCTGAGGTCGACCCAGCTTGGTGCGGGCTGAGGAAGGTTCGCAGTGTCAGAGATATGCTATAAACTCTCTATACTACATACTATGATGGCTATATACTCTATGTCTCTACCATATACAGTGAGCTGTCAGTCGGACCTTTGGTTGCATAAGCCACGGGAGAGCTACACGGAGTTAATTCCCATTCTTCTGCAGGCTTCGTCGGGCCAGCACAGATTGCTACGGCCTCAATTGATACCTTGCCGAGCAATTGAGTGGTTTGATGAAGCAGTCTTGTCCTATCAAGCATGTTGGAGATCCGAACCTGCTCGCCATCCTATTCGATGCAAAGCTTTTGCCCAGCATGGCTTCACGCATGTACTTTGCACTCTTATTTTTGTCCTCGCGTGAGCTTGTTGATGACACGAGTGCCTGCGCCAAATTTAGCTTATCCAGAGTCTAATGACAGGGCAAGGCCACAAATTGGGACGCCAAGATAATGCTACCAAGAAAGGGAGCCGCCAGTTTTACGAGTTCACGAGCACAGAGGATATCACCAACAGGGCTACAAGAGCACCTGAAATGCCGTCCAGGAGCACCCCACGAGCCCAAGACAGACACAGTGGTGGCAGCACGAACCAGACGAACAGGTGTAAGAGTGTGATAGTGATCTAAATCTGGTTATACGATACCGTATACCGTCAGAGCAGCACGGGTCCGGAAAGCACACCCTGGGAGCTCACAGAAAGGCTCCGTGAAGCGCGATTTCTACAACTTTCTGTGCAGAGCGCACGCACGAAGCGAGTTCGTGACGACGAGTGCTTCTAATACGCGCACGAGACTTTTGGCGGCAGCACGTTGCACACCGCGCCCGGCAGAGCGCTTTTGGCAAGGGGGTGCACATGTACAGGTGTGAATATGTGCATCTCACAGAAGCGGCTAAGCATGGCTGAGCCGGTTCAGATGCACGTGACATGGGTTTCCTTGTTGCTTCTGCTCTTGAGGATGGTGGACTCCAGGATCTTGCTGGGGCCTCGGGCCTTGACTTCCTCTCGACTGCTGCCCAAAAGGGAAGGGGGAGGGCTTTTGGCTTTCGATGCTTTCGGGGGCTCTTTGAAAGTTGGGTCCCCTCTAAAGGGATGCGAGTTCACGGGTACGATAAGATGGGACCTCACAAGAGTACTGCACTTTGGTGGGTGTGAAGGGAGCGGCGGGGCTTTTTTTTTAAATGACATGATGACCCTTTGTAACGGTATCATGCGCCCCAGTAAGGCCTTCGGAACTTGGTAATCCCCCAAAGAGCGAAGAAATGCATCTTCGAGGGGCTGACTTGCGCAGAGCTTGGCTTCCGTCTTCGGGAGCCTTCAGGGCTTAGGGCTTCAGGTCTTAGGGGTCTTCCTCCCCTTGGATCCCTTGGCAGTGCTAGGGATTTAATTTCAAGACATAGGGCTGTAAGACTGTAAGGTTTAATTAAGGGATGAGGCCCCGCAGTGTCAAGGTCAGCCCCGACAGCGACAGCGCTTCGCGGTGGGTGAGGCTTCTTCAGAGAGCCGCTCTGCATCTAGGAGCTGGTCAAGCCCGTGGGCCGTAGCGACTCACATTCGACCTCAAAATAGGTGGCACGCATGTATGCTACCTGGGGCGTCTGGAAGCCAGATCTTCAGGCTGTTGTGTGCTATGCTAGCAGCCAGCATGTGATTGCATAGGTGAAAGATGCCAGATAATGCTACGTACTGTCATTGTGCAGCGCTGTGACATAGCAGTTCCTCGTGCTGTCCCCTAAAATTATTCCGTATGCGGACGACATGGGAGGTTCTCACGCAGTCTTGTGTGGTCCAAAGAGAGCCCTGATGGAGCGAGCTATCCATGATGTTGCAGTTTTTTTCTGCGTGGGGTAACCTCCTGAAGCCACACTGACCCAAAAGCCCTACATCTTCCGAGCATAAGAGCCTTCAACATTTGATTCCTCGTAGATCTTTGGCGGTAGATTGTGTGCTTTTCGCTCTATAACTATACTAACTATGTAAGGGGCTATGTAAGGGGCTATGAGGGGCTTTGATTACCTGTTTCTTCAGCATGGCGAGGCAGACCAGCCCTTCGGATTTCACCCCAAGGAGCCAGGAGAGGGCTTTGAGCTCTGGGGGTCTTCGGGTTCCTGGCTTGTTAAGGACGGTTTAGGGTTAAGAGTTTACGATTTCGGGTTTTGGTTTCAGAGGTGGTTCCAAAGCTTGAAGAGGGCGCTTCAGAGGGACAGCTCCTTGGAGGAGGCCGTTCCCGGTCTCTCCGGGAGCGTCTTTTGAGGAGTGACACCTGGAGCAGCCCACGACTCAAGGCCCATTATGAAGAAGTCTTTGGTCACGAGGACAGGTCCATCCGAATGAGCCGCCTCGATCCGGTACTGAGCTGAGTTCAGACTTTGCACAACGGCATTGTCGTAGTGCACGCGGATGCTTTGGCAAGATGAACCGCGGGGATTCGCTAAGTGCTCGCCTCAGCCCGCTTGCAGAGGCGATGTCTCGCGTCTGTGATGTGCTAAGCTGAACTGAGCTGTGAGGCACCATGAACCCTGCGTTGCAGTCCCCGCAGACCTCCCCAACGACAACTTCACTGGCGGCGCTGGTAGCTGAGGTCTGGTGCATGAATCGCTGTGACCGCTCCATTGAGTCATCTGATTTGACTCGACTCGGGCAGCAGGACGAGTCCAAGCTCGACCAGGAACGGTCACATTGTAAGAGCGCCGCACGTGAGACTTCTGCTTGTCCAGGCGGCCCAAGAAGTCTTCGTCAAAGTGAAGTGGGAGGGTGAGAACCAGGCGGCGCCCTGATCCGCGCTGCGTGCCAATCTCAAAGCGCAAATCCGAAACATTGGGTCCCCTGCCTCTCAAGCAGACCCAGAGAACCTTCCAATCTTTTCTGGCATCGGTGCCCGCACCCGAGTCAACAGGCTCTCGCGAGTGGCAGAGACCTGAAAGCCAAACCTTACTCTCACACCGAAACCTGAAACCTGAAGCTGAAAAGCTGCAGCACGAATCTCAAAAGTGAAATGCAAGATCCGCAACTCCAACCTTCCAGCGCCCTTTGCCCGAACCCAGCTCCAAAGCCGAGGCCCCAACCCCCCCCCCGAACCTGCTGAATCCCCTGAACTTCCCTGCCAGGTTCACCGCTCATCTCTCCTTTCGGCTTTGGAACTCCTGGGCTTCGTTGCCCCGAAGCAGAGCTGGGCCGGGCCGCCCGGGAGAGGGAGCTCTCGGAGAGCTCTAGGAATAATAATAAGGCTAAGAAGAAGAAGAATAATAATAATAGTAATCGTAATAACACTCACAATAATAAGGGAGGCTGTGGCATCTCGGACATCGCCTTTGCCGTCTGGGATTGAGGTTTCGCCTGATGCAGAGGGGCTGCAGAGCGGAGTGTTTGGTCTGGGGTCACGAACATTGGGCAGAAAGCCCGAATGTAGCGAGCTGATATCCAGCTAACTACGACGCAAGCAAATGGCGAGCTGACACAGTCTTGTGGGTTTTCGCACGGGCATGAAGCTTCAGGCTGTTTCGGCAGGAGGATGATAGGATTGAGGTGCGTGTGGGCGACCGAGGTCGATGAGATCTTCGAAGAGATCAGCCCACAGTACAACCAGATAGAGTTTGATGTCCTGCCCTCGAGACATGAAAAGGCCCGCGGCAAGGCCAAAGAGTATACTGCACCTTTATGAGCTATGTTGCATGTTGGGTTTGCATGATGTTCCCGAGAACTCAACGAGGTGTTCAGAGACTTCATCAGGAAATACATCGCCTACCAAGACAAGGCAGTACAGATCAGCGCATGAAGCCTGCTTGACGACTGAGAGTGCGCTGGGGCACATATTCCTGGGAGGCTTATGAAGCAGCCTTCGCAAGATGCGACGGTGATGGTTCTGGCCTGGTAGAGGTAAGTGGGTGCATTCTTAGAAAAGCGGAGCGAACCAGGAAACTCAGCCTTGACATCGGAGGCTTCGGAAGTTGCTGTCCTTCTACGAGACTTTGACATTGAGCCGATGCCGCGGGCCCGGAGGTCGTGCATGGTGCACTTTGTGCGGACAGCAACTTCTGGTTTCGGCAGCGCGTGATGTAAATGTCTGCTACGGCCCGCAGAGGCAGAAGCATAATCCACGGAAGGGTATCCGAGTAGGTGAGCTCTGCCTCCCGAGGACGCACGTCCTGCAAGAGGCTCGCATTTTGCGTCTGCAGCGTCCACACATAACTCCTGCAGGGATAGAGGGACACCACAGGACAGGAAGCACAGAGCAAAATCAGTATGTTCAGCCCGGTTGCTAATTTTGAGCAACATCTGGCCGTGAGATTTCAACAGCCGTGGCTGAAGCGGTGAGCAGGTCATTGATGAGGTGGACAAGGACCCGAAAGGCTGTGTCGAGTGCCCATGGCTGCGCAACGTCGTGCAACGATCTGCTTGAAACGCAGCGGCGGGCAACAGCGGAAAATCCGAGCTTGCTGTCAAGGGTCGAGTTGTCATCGAGTGTTGTTGGGGCATGAGCCGTGGTATGTCTTCCATGGATTTACTGCTATACGGAGTCCTAAACCCTAAACCCTAAACCATCCTAAACCCAAAAATAAGCCTTGGACCCATACTCAGCTGACTCGCAAATCGGAGAGCCGGCGCTTTCCAGGATCGTGGAGGAACCTTGGACCCTGAAGAGTTTAAGGAGGTCCGCTTCCAAGGGCCTGGTTTTGGGTTTAGGATTTTAGGGTTCAGCCGCTCCGGATCGAGCAGTTTCTAGTCGAGCTCCACTCCGGAAATCATCCCACGCGCCCAAGATCCCATGTCATTAGGAAATGTGTGATAGGGTTTAGGGTTTAGGGTTTTTGAGCTATAAACAGACGTCATCAGCTTTGGTACTCAGGGTGCCATAAACCTTGCCAGATTCCCAAACTGGTAACGACGGACCTATAAGTGCGCTCCTCCGGACCAGCTGCGCACCTCAACCTGTCGTGATCAGGGCCAGATACGCGGAAAACGGTCTGCAACTCACCTCAACGAACCACTGGTATATGGAATCTGAATTAAGAAGTCTTTTGTCGAGGCTCCCGGATCCCCCAGACTGGATCGGTCTCGGGCCCTGACCACAACCGAACGTAGCGGCAGCGGTAGAAGCCGTAGCCGTAGCCGTACCGTAGTGGTCGTGGTCCTGTCGCGGTTCTGGCGGTTGTGCAGTGCCGCGGTAGTGGTAGTGCAGTGCCGTGGCGGTGAGGACGTGCAGTGAGCTTTTGGTCACCAGGCTTTTAGGCTTTTTGGGGTTCCGTGCCGGTATGTACGAGGGTTTCACATTCCGTCACAAACGATGTTCGGGTTTCATTTCTATCATTTTTAGGGTTTCAGTTCTTCATTCACATTGCTTCGCAATCGGCAAGGTTTTCTGAAGGGTTTCAGAATTTCGGAGCTGTTCGGGGGCGGAGGGGGGGTGGGTTGGAAGAACTTGTGCCAACAACACGATCCCAAGCTATATCTCGAACACCCAGAAAAGTCAAATGCAAACTTAAACCTGGGAAAGCGACGGGTTTTGTCCAAAAGACATGCGCGAAACATGATGACGACCATACTGATGATGATCTTGCTGGTGATCGGGGTGGTAGTGATACTTGTCGCGGCGGCGGTGGTGGTGATGATGATGATGATTATGGATTATTGATGATGCTGGCGATATGACCACCACCACCATCATCATCTTGACCATCATGATCATCATGATCATCATGATCATCATGATCATCATGATCATCATCTTGAACATGGTCAATGTCACCATCACCATCATCATCATCATTATCGTTATCATCATCATCATCATGGATCATCATCATCATTATCATCATCATCATCACCATCATCACCACCATCATCAAGTTCAGGCAGCGAACGACTCACCAGCTAGATTGCGGATCCGGACCGGGAGCCCCTCCTCGCAAGATGACCGATAAAAATGTCTCCGCTCTGTTTGTTCCTCGAGGTTTCGATGGTCACCTGGACTTGTAAAAGCCTCCTTAGTAGATTTGATGCATCCTTGTGCTGCAGTTGATGGAACTACTGAAGCGTCGAGAAGGGTTCACAGCCAGCGAGTACGAGGTGCCACATGCGCTGGGACAGTTGCCTGATGTTGCTCTAAGGAGAGATTTCTGATTTCGTATCGTGTTCGTGGCCGAGTAGAGCACCTTGCACGATAGGATTGGGCTTGTGAAAGCCAGCGTCGCAAATACGCGTGTTGAGGGGCTTGGGGATGGTTAGATGGCTTGCAAAACCAAGTCTCTGAAGAAGGCTTTTCTGCACAAGCTTTCAGAATTGATGCGGTCATCATCAGAGTTGACAAGCTGTACGGAGACTTTCCTTAACATCTTTAAGCCTTTTGATCAACAGACGCTCACTGGCTGAATTCACAGTCTGTCTCCGGCACTGCAGTTTCAAGCATGTTTGCGACGAATGAACGTTGATATGATGTGCGTTTCTCTCGATTTGAAGACGATTTTGTAGATGCAGGTCCACTCGTAGCGCCACAGACCCGCACGCGAAGTAGAAGACGGGGGAGCACGCTGTCGCTGTCAATAGCGACCAACAAGACTGACTCTGCCTAAGCAGCAGCGATACTGTCAGTACACCTAATGTTACTTGCTACAGCGAGGGCTTAGTACTAGGTCCAGAAGTCTAGTAAACGTGGCGCTTCCGCCTTCAACTTCATCAACTGTTCTGCGAAGCACAAACATAAACGTGCTTCGTGCCACTCAGAGCAAGAACAGGCGCAGCCGGACTGTGGGTAGGCATCGCTTACATCAGCTGCATGTTCGAAGGAAGCCAGGTATCGTGCTTTCAAACCTGCTCGCTGCGTTTCCAAGTCGTGGAACCACACCCAGTCGAAACTAGACATCGCGGCTGGCTGTACCTGGTACAGGAAGTATTGGGACTGAGGAGCATGGAGTGTGCTTCAATCTCGCATACAGGGGTGGTGACAAAAACAATGTGTCGTCGTAGCCAAATGCAGATTGATGGCTCATGCTGCGACTCAGCCGTGCTGCTGGCTTCCCTGTCCCCTTATAGCAGCGAACAATGATCATGAAACGTTGCGCGGTCTCCAAAGTGGGGTTTGGTGGAGCTCTTGGCCTGTTCTTGACAAGCGGAGCCCTGCATGTTAAAATCATAAGGAAAAGGTTTTCCCAAGCTTCGTCTTACATTCAGGGCATTTTGCTGCCAGAACAGGCCAAGTTCTGAAAGAACTGAGGGCACCAGCCAGGAACAAGCCAACTTAGTCCACGCCCTGCACCAGGGGGTTTCTGCGCCTTGAAACCATAAATCCTCAACACGACAGAGCCCTCAGCTGAGAAACCCTCCAGGAATTTGTCGGCATCTTTGAACGCCACGGTCACGACGGGACCAATCTGCTAGACAGCAAGGTCTGGCACTTGGAACGAGACCCTTGCAGACTTAGGGTGCATCGTTTAGGGTTCGAAGGCTTTAGGGCTTATATGATTTTCGGGTTTCAGGGTTCAGATTTAGGGATACAACATGGGCAGACGAGAAGGTGTTTGGGTCGACAGGAACACAGTAGAAATTGAGCTATGTAGCAAGAGGAAATTGCACAAACCTCCTTAGTGTTATTATGACTGCTTTCGTGTCTTGCTGTCGTGCATCAGAGGAGTTTAGTCATGTTATGTCATGTTCATCTTCCTCGTCGTCGCTAGCATCACCGTGTCATTAGCACCCTCATCATCTTTGTTGTTTGATTTTTTGTTTGGTGTCATCCTCATGATGGTCAAGAAAAGAGCTGCAGTCGCATTCCTCAGAGTAGCAACAATAGTAATGCCAAGAGTCATGATCAGCGGCACGGCAACAGTAATAGTCATGTTTAAAGCGCAACTAGCGGCATTGACTGTTGAAGGTGAGGCCATGGGGTTTGGGGTGGTTGAAGGCAAACTCAAGACGACCTGGGTTTCATGGCACCCCCAGGAGTTCCAGACCATTCTGAATTGGCTGGGCTTCTGCTGGCCTCCTGAAAGGACGCGGAAAAGGGGGTGGGGGTACTACAGAGCGAGCGGTTTCGGGTTTGGCTGTTAGGGTTTGGGCTAGGGGCGGTTTAGGGTTTAGGGCTTGACGTGTAGGGTTAGAGTAGGGGGTAGGGTTTAGCATTTAGGGTTATGATGAGAACTACTGCGTCAATGATTTTTGTGTGCGTGGTATCATGGTTGCTCTTACGGTGCTCTTTGTAATGACTAGAATTAGGATTACGAGATAACGGCCAATCTTCGCTCTGAAAACCTACAGTCAACCTACCTCGGGAAAGGACACAGAAGATCCTGGACCAGGTTGGAAGATGACCGGATGTTTGTCATTCAGTGCTATGTTATGTGTGTTCTTATCAGCAATACCTGTGGCTACTATGGCAACACCAGCATGGGATCACTATGACACTGTGAAGCAGTGATATGACATGCAGCATCGTCAGCGGTGTGGAGGCAGCTGCGTACGGCGCTGCTATGTCCTGTCCCGACCGTCGTTCGGTAGGAGTAGAATGCCTGCTGCTTTGAAGGTGGACCATGACAAAGCCAAAGGCAAGCTCAATCAGCGTCAGTACCTGCAGTGCATGCGACGCGTGCGGGAATCCGAGCTTGAGGCCTGGCTTTCGATGAGGGGTCGCAAGGTTTGGCTTTTTCCAGCGTTTCATAATGCCTGCAGTAGATTGTTCTGTCGCTTCTGGCCACAAGCCTCAGCAGTTAATTCTTGGCACCTGGGCCTTGTCGCCTTCCTCGTCAGCTCCTCCAGAAGCTGATCAAGGAGAACGACGCAGACCACTCCGGGACCATCAACATGATGGAGGTCGGTTGTTGCTGGGTACGAGTCGGCCTGCCCAATGCATCCGCGAAAGCCCCTGCGCCTCATCATTTTGGCTGACATTCAGGTGGTGCCCGTCTTGAAGGATCTTGGCTACGTGCTGTCCTCGGCTTGGGTCAGCTCAGAAGGTCCCAACGGCAGACATTCCCTGTGTCGGAGGAGATGTGGGACATCTCGGCCATCCACGAGGCCGGAGAGATATCGAGCAGTTCTCAAGCAGCATGCGCAATGCATGCGGCCTCAGGCTGCCGAAGAATGTGGCGTCGCAGCCGTCGAGTCGCAGCCTCATCTGTTGACGTCTTGCAGACCAAACCAGCCCTTTGAGAAGACCTATCCTCAACTTCAGAGACCCTGTCCCAAGACCCAACCCCATGCCTTGGCATGGCGAGCTAAAAATGCCCCACTCTCAAGCTTCCCCAAACCCCAAAGCCATATCCTGAACCGAGGATGGACTTAAGCGCTATGTGGAGGCTGCTGCTCACGTATCGCCAGCGAGAGGCTGGGCTTCTCGAGTTGAGACGGGCCAATACTCCTACGACGACTGGGATGGTGATGCTGATGACGATGATGATGTTTATGCTGGTCGTTATCATCATCATTATCATCATCATCATCATCATCATCATCGTCCTTATCCTTATTTAGCAGTAGCAGCAGCAGCAGCAGTACATATTAGTAGCAGTAGCAGTAGCAGTATCAGTGTTACCATTCTCATAGTATTATTTTCACATCTTGGGCGGTGCTAACTATCGGCGCGCATGGCAGTCAGAGCCTCTTTTTCCTTTTCATGTCGTCTTGCCACATCGCGCTCTGACTGCGGCCGCGGAGACGGGATGGCAAATTCCCTCGTAAATTCGATGTCCACCTCAATGCCGTCTTTCAATCCACGACTCGAGGTCTACAGTCTGGAAGCAGGAAAGGCACTACAGGCTAAGAGGAAAGCCACGTCCGTCGGACCGCTGATGTTGCAAATGTGGCACATGGATCAACCCTGCGTAATTTCATAATGCAGACCGAGTTTGTCCGCCGAGCGTCATTTGGCGGAACAACTGGAGCCTGGAGAATTGATCAGTGTCTGGGATTGGGACTCCAAACAGAACCCTACACCCCCCAAATCCTCAAACCCTTCAATGCGAAGCTCCCCCGAGATTCCCTGAGAGCACGGAGGCACTGAATTGCGTGGGGGATTTTAATTGAAGTATCGCAAGGAGGTGTACGGAATGCTCCCAAATCATGACGGGGTTTGTCAGGCCGTACTGTACTGAGGCCCTACTGTCGGAATCCTAAACTTTGAACAGAAGCCTAGATCTTGCTATAGAGCCTGAATACTTAGTATGACGATTACTCAAGGTTCATACTAGATAGGCTGCACGCAAGAACGTAAGCAAGCATGCAGCTGCGAGCCATAACAAAGAAGGGGAGGGCCGCAATGATGTTGGGGAGTGGGGAGGGGTTCTTTGTCACACCAAGTGCGCAGTGGTGGCCTGCAGGTTATTGCAGGTTGTTCCATTTGACTTGCTCGATGCATTTCTCTGATAGCTAGAATATTTTGCCAAGTGCCAGAACCGGCCAGGCCTCGTGTCAGCCGGTGCAGTTTGCGGATAACGGTCTCGATATGTCTCGATCCATAAGTGCGAATAGCGCCGACATTCGGCTTACTGCAGCTGAAACTTGGGGTGATTCGACCCTTCGTTGGCGACTCTGTGCTACAGGAATGCAGCTGTAGCGACAGATGTGCCGTTTTACGCTGTGAGAGTTGCCGCTGCACGCATTCGCTCATGGTGAGGGCTTCTGCAATATTGACCTGGAGCAAGTTGACGCCTCCTTCCACAAGCAAGACAAGGACCCGCCGGGAAGGCCCAGGGCTTGCGTCTCACAGCCAAACTCACAAAGCTTCGCGCGAGGCCCCGAGTCCCCGAGTCAGCAGGAATCAGCTTCCCAAAAGGTGCAGAACTGTGTGATCTTGTTGCGTCCTTGTGTTCCTGGCGGAAGGACGGCGCCGGCCAACTCCCTGCTCTGGAGGTGGCAAGGACATGGAGGCGACAACGGCTGTTGTGTAGTCTGCCCTTGCAGGCGACGCGTGCTTTGCGAGAGCTGGGCTTTACGGCGGGCTTTCACGTCATGCACAGCGTACTCAACAAGGCCAGGCCTGCTGAGAGGTTCGTGCACAGAGCTGGAACGGTTTAGAGAAACAGCCCGAGAGGCTCGATGCCCGAAATTGCAGACTCTTCGTCTGTGTCTCCCTCACCCGCATTTCGAAAAGGTAATTATCGCGATGAGAACCTTTGGACGGGCCACATCTGATTTCCAACGGTCCCAGCGAAATTAAGATGTGCCGCCGGGCGACGCCTCGAACTCAACTGGCAGGTGGACGTGGACGACACAGGCACTCTTGACAAGCCGGCGCCCCAGAACGGGTGCGCAACGCGGCTAGGTAGGAATGCAGACTATGTAGACACCACGAAATGCATGCTGGTTTCCGCGAGGTGTCTGACATTCTGTGCAGCTGTTTAGTGACCAAGCCCCAATCGACAAACTTGAGCTGCCAAGCCTCAGTCCAGCGTTCGAGACTCGCGCTCGAGGGCCAGTGGCTGGCCCCCTGCCGGCACTCACAGACTGTTCCGACACGTCCTCCTCTCCCCACATTCGTCGCGGAACAGTATTGCTCCTTTGGTTCCATCCACACAGGAATGAAGCTCTGGGTTGAAAGGGGCTTTGCTGTGGACCGCCGGTCCTTCATGTCCAGTGTTTTGCAAGCATCGTGGGATCCTCCGTGCAAACGCAGTTTTCCTTAAGCCATGATTTCCCTGATCCTACAACCCCCTCTCAAAGCCCGAAATGCCTTACATTCCTGATTTTGGTAAGACTCTCTTCGCTTGCGTGGGGCACCATGCCTGGAGGCCATGGCGGACGGCCTGGCTCCCGTGGCCTATGCGGCGCCCACACAGCTGGACGGGCTTTCGGAAAGGGGCTGTGCAAATGCTATTCCATACAGTTTCCACTAAATTAGATGCGACGACAGATGCGATTGGGGCTTGGTCACTAAACAGCTGCACAGAATGTCGGACACCCCGCGAAAACTGGCATGCATTTCGTGTTTCTACAGCAACTCCTTTGAAAGGTTAAATTCGTTCGAGCATTCTCTTTTGCGTCCAGGAACAAGCCCGACCGGCCGCTTAGTCGAAGCTCGAAAAGACCGCGGCTTTGTGTCATCTCATCTCATCTTGGGATCTGATGTGCCGTCAAAATGGATGAGTGGCTCATGCCAATGCAGCCAGATATGGCAGGCAACAGGTCGTAAGGAGACGGTGCCTGAGGGCCGCGCCATGCCGCGCCCGACTTAGCTCCGCCGTTCTCTGGTCTACGCAACAATGGTGGAAGAGGCATCAAGCGACCAAGATCATGCATCGTGTGATCTTGTTATCGGAAACAACAACCTGGCGCAAGCGGATTCTCTGCATTCCTGCTCCACCACTCGGTCGTCCCAGACAGGCTGCCACATGTAGAGAAACAAACAAACATCGATAAATAGATATAAGTATAACTATAAATAAATATAAATAGATAACTAAAGAAATATAAATAAAATAAATACATACATATATATATATATATCAATAAACAAATAAATAGATACATTATATATATATATATATACACGCACATACAGCACACAAATTGACCTACACACATACATGCATACATGCATACATACAGTTGTAGCCACACCCACACGCACCCACACGCACGCACGCACGTCTGCAGGTCCCGCAGTCGCGCACGCTGCATGAGAGGGCTTTCTGAAGAATGGCGCGATGCTTCTCCACGAAAGGCAGATTAATGCCAGGCTTGAGGTTTCCTGTGCCTACTCGTCCTGCGCTTCGTTTGAGGAGTCTGAGGCGCCCTCGGGCAAGGAGTCGGAGCCGGCAGCAGCACCTCCGCGGCAGCCTGGCGCACGGCTGCTGTTGCACCTTGACCCGATTTTCGGACACACAGCAAAACCCGAGCTTGTGTGTGACGGCTTTGTAAAAACAAAGTGGGGGGATGCATGCTCTCAGGGTCAACTTTTCATAAAAAGTCTACAGCATGATTTGGGTAGACGGGGTGAGCATTGCACGCAAGAAGGATTTGTGATTCTGCAGGTTGTAACGAAAGGGCAAAGATTAGTTCGCTTTCCTGCAAATCCCTCCTTCTTGCAGGTCGCATTACTGTAGTCGATATGCATGCGACTGCACTTCATTGTGGAGGCAGAGAGTGACGTCCCTTTCCCCCCATCTCTCCCCGTCTCTCTCTCTCTCTGTCTCTGTCTCTATCCGTCGCTCTCTCCTCTGCCTCTCTCTCTCTCTCTCCTCTCTCTCTCTCTCTCTCTCTCTTTGTCTTTCTGTATATACGTCTACATATGTTTCGCTTGTGTGTATGTAGATACAGGTATATATATATAGAGACACACTCTGCCTCTCTCTCTCTCTCTATGGTCAGGTGTCTGGCATTCCCCCCCCCCTCCCGCCCCCCAATGGTATGGTCTGGTGAGAGGGGTCGGGGCCGTTGGAGCTGCTGGAGTGTGGGGTGCTGCTGGGGGGCAGCCAGGGGTCACAGAGAGGGCCGGGATCTTACACAAGCCGTACGCAAGCCACAAACCCTATAACCTGAGGCGTGCTCCTGTTTGTGTTAACCTTAACCTGTACTTTAAACCCTACACCCAATTCTGCCCCGCCTAACTGCAGGCTGTTCGCCTAAAGCAGAACATAAGCCGTCAGCCCTAAACGAACCTGCACCCCAAACCCTCCCTAAGCCCTTGTNNAAGCCCTAAAACTTTGAACCCTAAACAAAATCCCAAAACTCAAAAGCTAAAGCCCAAAATCCCACAACCACCCCCACACCCCACCCCACAGGGGGGGAGAAATGCTAGAGCATTGGGGAGAGGGGGGAGAGGGTCGCCGCGGAGCGGGTGACCACATACATATACATATATATATATATATATATGTATATATATATATATACATATGTATACATATATATATATAGATATATATGTACGTACGTACGTACGTACGTACGTACGTACGTATGTATGT